TAGGAAGTACTTTCGGCGTTGTAAGCCATATAGTTGGTCTCCATCACAGCCACTCAGGTCTGCCATTGTCAGAGGAAAGTGATTATAGACAAGATGCAAATGAACAAGTGTGGCATGTTTGAATAAAACTTTATTTATAAAAACAGGCCACAAGGCTAGATTAGGCTCAGTTTCCTGACCCCTGCTTTAAGATAAAGGATTTGTTTGTTTATTTATTAACTTAGAGAGGAAAGAGAAACATTTATTTGTTGTTCCACCCAGTTTTATTGGTTGGTTGATTCTTCTTTGTACCCTGACTGGGGATTGAACCTGCAACCTTAGAGTATCTGGATGACACTCCAACCAACAGAGCTACTCAGCTAGGGCTAAGCTATTAAAACGATTTCTTCATGTAGTAACTGCACATGTTACTATAAAATCCATGCTTTTCTTTGCTTCCAGAGTAAAGGCAGAGTATGATAGCCATATGTCAGAGATGTGGGAAATATTTTAAGGATGTTAATGCTATAGTGTACATAATATTTATGTCCACCATAAATGTGTAAGGTCTGCACCTTCCCTTCAGAACTAACCTCATGCATGCATTTTTATTAGTTAGGGAGGTCAATATGTCTATCACAAGTTCATTTTAAAATTCCTCCCTACATATTCTGTCTGTTGAGATTATTTATCACACCTTGTTCCCTGGCCTAGAGCCAGGCAGAATATGGGGGTTTTAATACCTTTAATCCATTACATGGATTTTTTAGAGCTCCATAAGACAAAATAAAATGCGCTCTCATGGTCATACATGCAATAAACCTGATATGCCACTTAATATTTCACATCCCATTCTATATTTCAGCTGTGATGGCTTCCAGCTTTCAATGTGCAAAATGACACTATTTCAGCCATCTTTTTGCTCCAATCTCTGTTGTTGTTCGGTTAGAGAACTCCTGAGAATTCATAAACAATAAATCTCACCATGACTTCGAGGGCTGATTATTATTGCTCCCCAATATTCTGAAGAAGTATTGACATATGCCACCCAGTTGGCAATCTGAATTGGTCATGTTTATGTTTATTAGGCCATGCTACCTTGTTTTGAGTGCGTTATTAGCATGGTAGCTGGTCTCTGAAGACAGCCTGCTCAATGAACCACACTTCTAGGGATCCACACCATTTACCTTTGAATCTGAGCTGCTACTGTGATTTCCTTTTGATCAATAGAATGTGGCGAGGGTAATGGTGTGTTACACATGAGGCTAGATCATGAGGAGCCTTGCGGCTTCCATCCGGGATTCTTTGCAATGCTTATTCTGGGGGAAGCCATGTAAAGAGCCCTGGGACCACCACGCTGTAAGGAAGCCCACATCACAAGAGGAGGCCGTATGGAGACAGAGCTGCTCAGGCAGCCTCCAGCTGTTCCATCGACCTCAGTTGAGGAACTACACATGTGAATGGAGGAGCCATGCTGAACAACCAGCTTAGTCAAGCTCTCAGATGAGCCCACCCCCAGCACCAGCTCACTGCAGCCATTTGAAAGACCCCAAGTGAGACAGAACCTTGAAAGTTTTAAGCCACTAAGTACTGGGCTGGTCTGCTGTGTAGCAATAGGTAACTGAAGTTAATTCTATAGTTAATTGAAGATTATTTATTGTGGAGCCATGAAGAACCTGTGGCCATGGCCCACCTCAACTCTTCCAGAATCTAGTAGATAGTAATTTGGCATCATATGCACTGTCCAAGCTTGACATGCATTCCTGCCAGTTACAAGAGCAATGGAATAACTCCATCTAAAAGTAAAAAAATTAAGATATTCTGTATTTTTTTAAAAAGTATCATTGCTTGGTTATTAATTCAAAGACTGTAATGATTAAGATATCATGGAATAAGGCTCTTAATGCACTGTCCAAGCTTGACATGCATTCCTGCCAGTTATAAGAGCAATGGAATAATTCCATCTAAAAATAAGAAATTAAGACATTCTGGATTTTTTAAAAAGGTATCATTGCTTGGTTAGGAATTCAAAGACTGTAATGATTAAGATATCATGTAATAAGGCTCTTAAAAATTAAAATATCAACTGTAATCCAATGTCTCTTTTTCTCAAATTGCTTAGAAAACTCATTCATATCCACCTGCGCCCACATGTGAGCACCACCTGCCCATCCCCTGCACACACCCTCTTTTATTTTGAGATGCAGCTGTCTCCTTATGGGGTGGTTGTTTTTTATTTGTTCCTCCAGGGGACAGATTGAATCAGCCCCCCCACACTGGACATTGCAATTCAAAATAATAGCAAAAGACCTGCAGGTAATGAGCCATAATCCTCACTTGATACCCACGAAGGAGGGTTTAGATCACTTGCTCTCTGTTACCTTTCATGAAACATCTGTTTCATATGAGCCAGTTAAAAGTGCATACATCTGTAAATAATAAGCCTGTGTGTGCACATAATTTAATGAATCAGGACATAAAAAGGGATTGAACAGTAGGGGCAAAGCAATTAGAGTAACTGCCCATTTTGTTAAAAAAATGTATTGTTTCCAGCTTTCACTTGGAAACCCTTTTATTATTCTGTGGGTTCTGAGACTTCCAGCCTTCCTCACTCCCCCACCTCCCCCCACAAAGAAAATAGGAGTGGACTTTGCATCATTGGCCGAGGGAAGGAAACCCACATTATGCAAAGCTGGGTGGGGAACTTCCAACTCACTTTTTCCTACTCAGGGGGGTACCTGAACGCCTCTGTGCCTGGGAACTCTCCTCCATCAAGTGGAGAAAGAACAGCACTTCCTCTCAGGCTGCTGTGAGGTTTAGATGACATAAGCCATTTTGCGCACTTGGCAGATAATATGCATTTAATATTAGTTACGATGATGATGGTGATTATTTCATGAAAAAAATCTAGCACAATTTGCAACCATCTAGGGGGAAAAACACAAAATAAAGTTCCTTTTGCCCTGGCCTGTGTGGCTCAGTTGGTTGGGCATCGTCCTGTGCATGGAAGGGTTGTTGGTTAGATTCCCCGTCAGGGCCCAGGCCCAGGTTACAGGCTTCGTCCCCAGCAGGGGGCATGCGGGAGGCAGCCAATCAATGCTCGCTCTCGAATGGATGTTTTTCTCTCTCCCTCTCCCTTCCTCTCTTCTGAAAATCAGCGAAAAAAAAATATTTTTAAAAGTTCCTCTTGATTTGGTCCTATTTCTATTTACTTTCTTCACACCATTTCTAGGGATGGGGAGAAAAAAGAGGTGGGGTGGGGAGGAGGAGCAGCCATGTCTTGGTTAATGGGACGTACCATTAGACAATCTATTCCTAGGCCATCAAAGTAAGTGCCAGAAGCTCAGGGAAATACCCCATTCTTCTATTTTCAGGCCTGTTTTCCAGCTAGTTCATTTACAAGGGCTTGCCATAACAGCCAATTCGAACCTCCCAAGTTTTGACAGCCCCCCAAGTTTGCTTCAGTTATTTCGAGTAATCCCGAAACACACAAATAAATAAAAGCTGACACCACTTGTGATGTTCTGAATTTCAAGGTTGTTGTCACTGGATTGCTCTCAGCATCTTTCTTGAACACCTATTATGTGCCAGGCACTGATTACAAAGCAAAGCACGTATGTATTAGCAGGAGAAGGCACTTGTGGGAGAGAGCATGGGACTTCCTAGAACACATAGGGAGGCATCCATAGAGCATGGCTTGTTTTGCCCGCCTTCATGACGTTTAAGTTGAAAGTAGCTGAAAAATGTTGGAAGATACTCTGTCGATTTGAAAATCAAACACAGGACTAGAAATTCGTATGCCACCTTGGTACGATTGCTACAAAGAATATAATTAAGTCCAGCCCACAGGGATTCTGTGGAAATCCTGGTTTAGCTCCACAAAGTAAGTCTTAGCAAAAGAAGTGCTAAGTATGTGTCAGGCCCCAGGAAAAACAGTTCCACCCAGAAGGAAAGCAAGTTAAACAATGACTGAAATCACCACCCCGCAGTTTTCTGTTTACATTCTCCTACAGTCTATTTGCCAGCTACATAAAGAGATCATTAGAGCTCCGCAACAGCAAGAGGGAAGGAGAAGAAAGGCTAAAGAAAGAGGCAAGTAAAGAGAGTGAACAAATATTTAAAAAATATTAATAGCTGGAGTATATGGAGCTGCACTGTTCCATACAGTAGCCACTAGCCACATGTGGCTACTGAAAGCTAAGAAAATTAAAATTAAAATTAAATGAAAGATTTAGTTCCTCAGATATATTAGCCGCATTTCATGTGCTCAGTCACCACAGGTGGCAACTACTGTATTGGACAACGCAGAATCATAGATCATTTCCACCACTGTAGAAAGTTCGATTGGACGGTGCTGATATCTAGCATAGTAAGTAGTGGTTTGCTTGAACATGTCCGTGACTAAGCCATCGTTAACGGAGTACTGACCAGGGAGGTGCAAGTACTCTACTAGCCTGGGAAAAGCAGAAGCAAAGGACACACGATCTGAACTCAAAGACTTCCCAGGGTTAGTAAGGGAACCCAACCAATAAAACACAGCAACACACACACACACACACACACACACACACACACAACACAACACA